CGGATGACGGCAAAAACAAGAACGGGAGAAACACCTTTCTCTCTCGTATATGGTGCAGAAGCTCTGATCTCGGTAGAAGTATGAGAACCGAACTTACGGTACTTCCAAATGGATGAAGAAGAAAATAATGAGGCATTGCTGGTCAAGCTGGAATTACTTGATGAACGCAAAGACTTGGCACACATAAAAATGGCGGCTCAGAAACAAAGGATGGAAAGATACTATAACCGGAGGGACAATCTCCGCTATTTTAATGTAGGAGACTTGGTTTTGAGGAACATAACTCAGAACACTCAGGAAATCAATGCTGGAAAGCTGGGCTCGACGTGGGAAGGTCCCTACCGAATTTCAGTTGTCACCGGGAAGGGAGCATACGAACCGGAGAATCAAGATAGAGTCAAATTTCCAAGTAACTGGAACGTGACTCATCTCCAAAGGTATTACTGCTAATGGATCCTACTTATACTAAAAGTATGTGCTGCACTCTTATTCCCTACTTATACGGAAAGCATACTACGAAGGGAGTATCATCAGCAAAATTAAGACCTTTAAATGAAAAGGCACTGAAACAACAAGCCACTATGGGATGGTTAGATAATTTTTGGCTCGATGGAAAAGTTCCTAATGGGAAATGAAGCTTTCCATCGAACCAAATATTATCCAACCGTTCACAAGTATTTTTCCTTAAAGGATCAAGACTTTCAGTGTTTCAATTCGCATATTTCGCATTCGAACACTAGGAGGAATAGTATGAGAATACGGCAACATGATTGCCACGAAAATCGGGACTGTGAGATCCGAGAACAACAATATCTCATCGGGACCGGGGACTGCACAACTAGCCCTATAGAAACAATTTGTACAAGTTAGCCAGATATATAGGCAGTTTATTTTCTTTAAACAAATGAATGCTTATGTACTTTGAAGATAGAAGGAATAAAATGAAGTCCTTTTATTTTTATCTTGTTTCTTGTCCAAATAATGAATTCATTTTATCATTTGAGAGTTAACTAAAAACTTCAAATGCTAGTACCGAAATGAACATGTGACGTCCTTTTCAAGAGCACCGTAATCATAAGAGGGACCTCTCTTATGAAACCCTCATAGTAAAGGATTGGTTCCGAAAAATTTTATGCCCGGAACCTGAAAGCTATCGCAAGAAAACAGACCCTAAGCCTTACCTAATTTGGCTCAAAAAGAATGAAATTTGTGCAATACTTAAGCAAAAAGTCCTTTTCATTTATCAAACATGCCAAATGGCATAAGTACAAAAATAACTAGGGAAAAGAACAAAAGGAAAAAGGGAAAAAGCTAAAATTCATCGCCAACGGTACTGGGAGAAGAGAGGCATTTGCGCCCCAGGGAAAAGTAGGTGGATCTGTTTCCAGCGCTGGATCTTGACCTTCATCATCATTCTCTTCAAGTTCTTCCTCGATTCTCGAATATTCAGAACCAGTACTCAAAGACAGTTGCGTCAGGCTTAGTCGGGTGACGTTCTCGAGTAGTTAACTCCAGTGCTCGGGCTTTGGCAATTTCATCATGAATATCAATAATGCCTGCTTTAGATTTCTCCAAGGCTTTTCTCCTCATATGATACATAGAATATGTCTTTTCAAAGATGAGGGAATCCTCTTGGTGCTGGAGCTTTGCCTTGAGCTTGTCAACATCAGTCCAAAGGCCATCCCGTTCGGATCTCATGGCATCGAGATCACAAATTGTAGTTATGTGAACCTTGTTTTGATCCATGATCATCTTATACCTATATTCCATCTGAGCCTACTTCTCCTTGGCAGCAGACTCTTCATCTTTGGAGTTCAAGGCGTCCTCCAAGTTATTTTCTCGTTCAATGGAGGCAGACTCACGCTCGGTAGCAGCAAGAGCAGTATCTTGAGACTCAGTCCACCTAGCCTTAGCATCGTGAAGTTGAGCATGTAACCTTTGCCTCTAGCACTAGGAGGCATGTAACGAGTTAATCTTCTCAGTCAACAGCTGATCCTACTCGGACATGAGTCCTTCTTTATCAAGGATCAATCTCTAAAGGCCTTTGGAAGTGAGGAAGTTGGCCTGCAAAACATATATGAAAGGTAGAAACCTGATTATAGCAGATGAATAAAAACAAACAGTGAGAGAACAATACGGTACCGCTACCGCATTATGCATAACATTATTCAATATACACTCCCCTGAAAGAGAGTGTGTTTTCTTTCTTATCTTTTTCTGAAGCCAGAAGCTTCAGATAGTTGGCAAGCTCCACCGGCCTGGACAGCAGATATCACTCTTATGAAACCGAGAGAGTGACGCTCCTCCTCCCTCCGGAATCTGGAGAAGGGGGTAAGTAGTTGTGCCCCAAATTCTCGTGGTTAGGGGACTGGGGAGGGAGACATCCTCTTCTTGGGCGCCTGTGGCCGGTGGAGGAGATGCAGTAGTTACTGGTGATGAAGGCACAACTAGTGTGGAGGGAGATGAATCTAATGGTGTTGTAGGTTGAGAAGCAGCTGCGACAGAGGCAATGTTGATTATTGGTTGCTTATCAACCAAAGGCAGAAGATGCCTAGTATCCGACCTCATAGGTCCAAAAGCAGAAATTGGAACCAAAAAGGGAGAATAAGCATTCTCCACTAAATCCATTTCTCCCTAGAGCGCTCAGACCTAACCCTCGGCTTGGGTTCTAAGCTCTCTAGATTGAGCATTTTGTTTAGTTGATAAAGATCGTTTTCTCCGTTGAAGGGGAGACTCTACATCATTAGCTTCCCCGCCATCATCAATGACCACGGTGGCTGCGGCCGGCTCGGACGTGGCCTTCTTTATTTTCTTATTTTTATTCCCAGTCGAGGAAGAATGTCGCCTTTTTGGTTGCTTGTTCTCTGGCTGGAGACTCCGCAAGAAAGCACCTATACCAGAGGCAGATCCGAGGGCACCGCTCCAAGTAAAAGCCTCTTGTCATCATCCATGCTGGTAAGCAGAGCATGGTGGCCACGCTTACTGAAATATTATTATACCCCCACGGAAGATTTTGGGAGAATATAGGTTCATCATATACGCCAGGGTTAGGGTTTCCCCCATCTCCGTGCATAGCTTACACAGACAAGCCACTGCTCGCCACACAAAAGGGCCTACTTGCGCCAAGTAGACCTGGTATCAGTGGCATAATTCCAAGATCACAGGGTCAAGTACCTCGCTTAAATAAAACGGTCCCAAAGTGAAGGGGTACATATAGACATACATAAAAACCTTCTTGGTGAAGGTAACCCGCTCCACCGGGTCAAGAACAATGATCTTTAGGTCATGGCAGTCACAATCATCCTTCATAGTAGGAATACTGGAAGGACAAATAGAAGAAGGATACATGCTAACATGCCAAGTTCGAGGATTCGCGGAAGGGAACTTCTCTTGGTAGTCGTTAACAGTGCTCAAGTTTTTAGGAATGATGGTGTTCATCGTAGGAGGATCAGCATCAACATCAACCTATGTATCTTTACTTCTCTTTGGACCTCCGCCAAAGAGAAGAGCAGAGTTTTTAGAAGACTTAGTGAAAGAAGCCATGATAATAAAGAATTTATGGATTAAGAGCAAAGAAAGCTGGAAAGAGACAAAAGTAGGAGAATATTGCAGAGCAAAGAAGATAATGAATTTATGAGGGCTTTAGAAGTGAAATAAGTAAAATGATGAGTACGAGTAAAGATATAGACGACAAAAATCATGGCCATGATTACCTCGAGAACCGGCAAAAATATTATTGAATTGTGGGGCAACAAGTGTTCGGGGTATTAAATGCGAGGAGACATGCGTTTTATCAAGCATTAGAGAATGTTCAGAGGGCTTCGAAAGAATTTTTCGCCAAGAAAGGAATCTTCACCAACTTTTCGGTGACACAAAGTTATGCCACCGGAAAGTAGGGAGACTATTTGTATAGGGAAAATTAGTTTATATTAAATGATCGAATAATTGCGTGATACGTGAAACCAGAAACATACGGAAGATGAGTCGAGTAAGAACGAGACCGGAGGCAATAGCTGCAGTTGGTGTGTTGGATAGATCTCGAAGGGAGCATAATAAATGGGAGCAACACGAATGTTTGTCACCAGATGTCATTTAATGAAGAATATGCAGCCGTTGCAGAGAATTTTGGCATTCATGGCCTGCAGTTACACCTTCATCAATGCCCCCTTTATTATTATTAAAGAGAGGCTTGATCCTAGGATCTTATTCCCTAGGTATATCTATAAATAGTAGCTAAAACAACCATTGAAGGACACGAAATCTCTGGCAAAACTTATGTTATACTTTGTTCTCAAGCTAAATAATATAACTTCACTTTTTGTCTGATATTGTTCTTACTTCTGTCCTCGGAAGCATAGCTCCCGGAGCTAGGCCTGCCATTTCCTTTGATTTTAACGCTAAGACTTATTTTTAATTTAGTTTATTTATTGCTTTGGATCAAATCATTTCGCTTGTCTATAAACCACATAACAAATTCAATTGTACCGTCTTACGGATAAACAAGAATATTTTTGGGAAATAATTTCTCTGCTTGTGATGTGTATTTTGGAAGGAAAAAAAAAAATTCAACATGTGTTTTTTCTTTTCTTTTATTATTTTCTTTTTGTTCTTCCACTAGTCATTTAGAAAATAGAATTCAAATAAACTTTTGAGCTTAAAATAAAAGGGTTGTGAAAAGTGAATTTCATTAGTTTTGAGAAAAATATTTGAGCATGTCCTAACGATAAGGGCATAGTTGAGACCAAATTTAAAGAGGGGCAAACTTGATCTATTTCTCACAATGGAGGAGCAAGTCTGATTTAGTCCACTAACAATAAGGGCATATTACCAAACTTAAGATAAGGACAAAATTGCTCTATTTCCCGTTATGTTGCGCACCTACTTAGCATATTACAGTATGAAACATGGTTTAGGACGAACCTAATATAATGTGTTTAGGCCCTGTATTTATATTAGGAAGTCCATGAAATATATATGAATAGTTAGGTGCGAACTCTGAGATGAGCTATGAGTTCGCCTTGATTCGGTACAATTATAAGGCTCTCAATGTGGCTAACACACTTCCAGAAGAAGGTCATTGGTTTAGAAGTCCTTTACCTACTGCTTCCTAGTTCCTTCCATTTTATCGACAAATTTTTTCTGGCAATCCTAGTTTGTGGATAATCTCTGAACTGCAGAAATTGCAGACTACAACAGAGGAGAGGGAAAAAAAGGAGATGGGGAATTAGGTAATGATATCAGTGTTATTAGTAATTGTTTGCTGTTTTGAAGTTGGGTTAAACACACTAAATAAATCAGCTACTAACAAAGGAATGAGCAATTTTGTCTTTGTTCTTTATTCTAACGCCTTAGCCTTACTCGTCCTTCTTCCTTCAACCTTCATCTATCACAGGTTAATTCTGTCTATTAATTAATATTAAGTTTTCAATTTCTTGAATGTTACTATAAATAACTGTTTTTTATTTGCATCTGCAGATCAAAGCCATGTGCTAAGTTAACATTCTTTGTCTTGTATAGAATCTTTTTCTTGCTCTTCTCAGGTATAAATTTAATAACTTGTTGTCTGGTTAATTCCGTTAACAAATGAGATCTCAGCCCGGTGGCTAGCTAATATTTTATGGTTTTCTCTTTAAACTATGGCTCTTTCTCTAAAATTGGATTATCAAATAAAGCTGTTCTGGGCAGACTTTGTTTTACGTGGGGATACAATATAGCTCACCAACTCTGGCTTCTGCCATAGTTGATCTTGTTCCAGCTTTCACTTTCATAGTTGCTGTCATTCTTGGGTACGCACCTCTTTTTTTACTCCATCAATTTTCTGTTATTGGATTAATTTCACTTATTGCCAACAATTTATCTATTATAACAATAAAGTCAAGTCTCTTTTTTCTGTCAAATTGAGTTTTATTCATTGTAACAGTAATATTGCCTCTAAACTTTACCCAATACCCAAAATTCCTTTTTTGTCACATTAAAATAATTGAACTTACCTATTATAATAATAATAGTAAAATCATTAAATTTTTACCCATTATGATGACAATTCCAACCCATCAAGATAATTTTAATTTCCTGTCTTAGTACAAAGTGCAATTACTTTAATGTTACAAAGTTTATCCATTGTAATAATAAAGTCACATTTTTTTCTGTCATATTAAAGTAATTGAATAGTAATATTGCCACTAAACTTTACCAATATAACACTAATACCCAATAAAGTCAAATTAAAATAATTGAATTTACCTTTTATAACAATAAAGTCACTAAATGTTTACCCATTATAAGACAAGAACAACCCATCAAGATAACTTTAAAGTTATACAACAATTTATTTTATAATTGATAAAGTTCAGCAACCAAATTAATTCTTCAATCATTCTTTTTTTTGAAGATTAGTTCTTGAATTATAGTTGGTTTTATTAATTAATAGGATGGAAAGGCTAGTGTTGAGAGCTAAGAGCAGTCTAGCAAAGTCTGTTGGAACGATAATACTAATAACAGGAGCATTTGTGATGACTTTTTACAAAGGTCCAGCAATTTTTTCTCATGAATCAGTAGTTCATAATAGAAATATTGGTCAGCCTCTTTTGTCAACACAATCAAATTGGATAATTGGCAGCTCACTCCTTACTACTGCTAGCTTCTTGGTTAGTCTGCTTTACATAGTTCAGGTACTCCTTTCCCTTAATTTTTTTCTTCTTTTCATTCCCTTCTGCTAAAAAGCAGATTAACTATCAAGTAAAAGTATGCACTAAATTCTGTTTTCTGCCATTTATGTATGATTTTAGGCATGGATAATGAAGGACTATCCGCAGGAGTTGATGGTAACTGTAATTGCTTGTGGTTTTGTGACTATTTTGTCATTTGTGGTTGCTTTAATAGCAGAAAAGGATCCAAATGCTTGGAAAATTAGACCAGATTTAAAGTTAATCCAAATAGCAGAAAAGGATTCAAATGACTATTTTGTCATTTGTGGTGACTATTTTGTCATTTGTGGTTGCTTTAATAGCAGATTTAAAGTTGGACAATAATGATACACATTGGCGAAGTAATAATTAGTTGATAGAACTCATGTCTCGGTTTTTGAGATTGATGATACTCCTTTATGAAAGCTCATAAGTTTTCATGTGTAAACTCGGCCGGTGGATTTTATATCCGATACATGAAATAAGTTAAGCGAAAGTCTAAAGCAAGTAATCAATAAATTTAATTGTCAGTAATTTAATTTGATTGATTAGTATCTGAATCTTAACATGAGGAGTTAAATAAGGTTTTATGGAAGAATTTCGAAATTGAACTAAAAAGTGCAATTACGAATTTTTAGTGGAATAATTCATAATTTATTATGGCAGAAATTAATTTCAAATTTCGAAATTATTTCCATAATAAGGAGTCTTGTTAATTAAATTATGTGGTCCCTACTGTGCCTAAATAATAGGAAATAAAGAAAATCTTACCTTAGTGGAAGAAGAAAACCTAACAAATTTTGGAAAAGGTTTTTAACCTAAAATAACGTGGCTATATATANGCTTACCCGAAATTCTCTCTTTTCGGATATTATTTGGGTAACACAGTAGAAGACTGTGGAACATTTTGCTGAGATCGCGGTCTTGCTACTCTAGAACTGGAGATCGAGATTAATCTGCTTTGTTCACGCTTCAAGAGGTAACTCGTATAATCTCCGTATGTACTAATTATTTAATTTACACGTGAATGTGATACTGAAATTGCTTCCGATGCGATATATAATCCAACAATTGGTATCAGAACCTACTCACGTCTAATTAGATAATTAGGATGAACATGAAAAGGAGCATCATGTTTTCTCTAAACTGCACTGTTTTGAGCATGAATATTTGTTCCGAGAATTTTGATTATTCTGAAAATCAAATAATATGTGCTTAATGTTGATGATATTTGGTTAGAATAATCTGAAAATTTCGTTAATCCGAGGAAAACGTAAAAGCTACTATTTGGCCGAATTGGCTAGAAAATCGGAGGTCAATCTGTTGACGGACTCTGATTGACCTGAAATTTGATAGGTCAATGTGAAACGGCCCAGTGATCAATACTCATGAGATTTTCTCATGATGTAAGCCGTTTTTTGGGCTTTCGGGGTCGTCTAGATGGTGTTTTGGGCGTTTCTCTAATTTTCTGGAATTTTTTCAAAATTATTTTTTAAGTTGTTTTAATCTAGTAGTGGTAGGGATCGTTTCCTATGGATTCCAGGGTTAAATTCTGGTGATATAATGATTTTACACGTTGACGTAGATCTTCTTCCATATCGGATAAACTCATTATAGCTAATCACTAGGTAATACTAGTTGTTGATTATTTGTATTTACTTTCCATCTGAGTATGCATGTTGGTTCAATGGGACTAGTATATTGAATGTTGATATTCGCTTGACTTAAATTAACAGTTTACTCTCCATCTGAGTAAAGCCTGTTTAAATTCATGGAGTGAATAATCTGTTATTACATATGTATATTGCAAGAATATATCTTTTCCCATCGAAACTTGTTGTTCAAAGTGCATGGATTATATGTATGTAGTGTGTTTTGAATTTTAATATTCAATAAAACATGACTGATTTTGATCTATTTATTTAATTGTCTCTCAGATTAACCATGACTGCTTTCAATCCCCTTACTGCTATTCCTACTCAAAACAAACTTGAGGGTCTGAATTATGTTGATTGAAAATGAAACTTGGATATTGTCCTAATTGCTGAAGCGTACAAATTTGTGCTCGATGAGGTGTGTCCAAAAAAATATGGAGATGATGCTAAGGATGATGAACATAAAGCTTACCAAAAATGGGTTAAGGCTGATGAGATGGCGCGTTGTTACATTCTGGCATCTATGTCGAATGTTCTGTAATATCAGCATCAGTTTATGGAGTCTACTTATGACATTCTGGAAAATCTCAAAGAGATGTTTGGAGATCATAATCGTGCGACTAAGCAGACTGTTATGATGACCCGAAAGGTCATCTTTAAATTTAATATTTTATTTTGTGTTCTGAGATCTTGAATAGCAGCTTTCAATATTTTTCGACTTGCGTGCACAGTCCGTAAATTTTTCTGAAAAGTTTTTATGTGAAAAGAAATTGATTTTAATGTGAAATTGAGCTTCAAAACTCATTTGAGTTGACTTCGGTCAACGTTTTGAGCAAACGGACCCGAATCATTATTCTGACGGTCCCGGTAGGTCCGTATCATGATTTGGCACTTGAGCGTATGCCCGAAATCGATTTCGAAAGTCCCTAACTCGAATTATCGTCATTTGACAAAAACTAAAAATTTAAAAATTTAAAGAATTCCTAAATTTGGCTATAATTGGGTTTTTATTGATACCGGGTCCTGATTTGGATTTCGAGAGCTTGATCACCTTCGTAACAATATTTGTGACTTATGTACAAAAGTTAAAGTTTTTCCGAGGTATGTAGGCATGTTTTCCTTTAGTTTTTGAAAAAAAAGGTTTGATTTTATAAAGCTTGAATTTCTAAAGTTTGACCAGAGATTTGACTTTTGAGCAAACGACTCCGGAATAGAATTTTGATGATTCCAATAGCTTCGTATGGTAATTTTGGACTTAGGCGCATGTCCGGATTTAGATTTGGATATCCGTAGGACAATTCGGCGCATTTTGGCGAAAGTTGGAAAATAAAAGATTTTTGAAAAGTTTGACCGGGAGTTGACTTTATTGATATCGGGGTCGGAATTTGATTCATAAAATTAAAATAGTTCTGTTATGTCATTTATGACTTGTACGCCAAATTTGAAGTTATTCCGAATTCATTTACCATGTTTCGGCACGAGATTTGTAAATTGAAAAGTTTGAAACTCATAAGTCCGAATCGAGGTGTAAATTATAATTACGACGTTGTTTGACGTGATTTGAAACCTCGAGTAAGTCTGTATTATGTTTTAGAACTTGTTGGAATATTCGAATGAGGTTCCAAGGGGCTCGGGTGAATTTCGGATTGGTTTCAGACCATTTTTAGGCCATTTTTAACTGCTGGTTTTTGGCTACAGCAGTGTGCGAATTTTTAATGCATAGAGCTGACTTTGGAAGCTTATATCTCATAATCTATAAGGAATCTGGAGATTTTCAAAATGCAAAGTCCTTTGATTCTAGTTTCCAGAAAGGTAAACCATTCATCATTTAGACATTTGTACAGAAAGTTATGATCGATTTGCTGAAGGCTGGTACTGCAGTTTTCGGCTACAGCAGTGTGCGAATTTCTGATGCACAGAGCTAACTTTAGAATCTTATATATCGCAATCTATAAGAAATCTGGAGATTTTTAAAACATGAAAATTGTAGCCCTTTGATTCTAGTTTCCGCAAAGGTACCCCATTCATTATTTGGATATTTGTACAGAAAGTTATGATCGATTTACTGAAGGCTGGTAGCAGTTTTTGTTTGCCTGGAAATATGAGACAAAGTGGCATTTCACACATGCGACTTGCCTAGGCAGAATGCTTAAAATCGAAAGTTTGTCATTTTTACTTATTTTTGAGTTTTGAGTCTCGGATTTGGACGATTCCAAAGGGAGTTTTTCACGAATTCGACTTGGGTAAGTGTTCTCTATCCGCAAGTGATTGTATTTCATAAATCCATATCAATATTCATCATTTATTTCAGATTTAGATAGAAGAAATGGAGATTTTTGTAAAACTTTTCAAAAATAAAAATTTAGGATTTGAAAGACAATCCGATGTCAGAATTTGATTATTTTTGTATCGTTGGACTCGTCTCGGAATGGGTGTTCGAATTTCATGAGTTTTTTCGAGATTCGAGATGTGGGTCCCACTGTTGATTTTTGAGATGAGTTTCGGATTTTAATCCAGAAAATCTATAATTTTATATGGAATTAATTCCTACGATTCGTGTATTGAATTGTTTATGACTAGATTTGAAGCTTCCGGACACCAATTCGCGAGGCAAAGGTTTATTGGAATCTTGAATTTGGTTACGAAGTAAGGTAAGTGTCGTGGTTAACCTTGAATTGAGGGAATAGAACCCTTGAATTATTTGTTAAGTGAATTTCATGTGTAATGACGTATAGGTGAGGTGACGAGTGCCTATATGTCGTCAAATTGATTGTTGCATATTTATCTAATAATCATAAATTATTTTAAATCATGAATTAATTATTATATTAATTATTTCTCTCATATTCCTTGTAATATTATATCTTGAATTCATGCTGTAATTGCTAAATGTTTATTTGAATTATGTGTCTTAATTGCTACTTAACATTTAGCATACTAAATATTAAATTGCCTACTTTCTCCCTGATTTTCATAATTAATTGTTACTTGTCATTACTTATTTTCCAAATAAATTATAATCATTGTATGCCTTGTTGCCTAATAATTTCTTATTTAATGTGATATTTATTGGAATATTTTTACATTTAAGAATTGTTAAATTATATTGTTGGAGCGGGTTGCACGCAGCAACGGATTTATTTTAAGTTTATATTGTTGGAGCGGGTTGCACGCCGCAACAGATTTATTGAAAGTTTATATAATTGGAGCGGGTTGCACGCCGCAACAAAATTTAATTGAAAGATTATATTGTTGGATCGGGTTGCATGCCGCAACGGATTTTATGTTAAGTTTATATTGTTGGAGCGGGTTGCACGCCGCAACGGAAATTTGTTGAAGGATTATGACTACTGAATTGACTTCAATTATTGATATGATTTATCTGTCTTACTTCTTTTCCTGTTGTTATTATTATTATTGCGTACAGGTTAACATAAGCGACTTGCCTTAGCCTCGTCACTACTTCGTCGAGGTTAGACTCGACACTTACAGAGTACATGGGGTCGGTTGTAGTCATACTACACTCTGCACTTCTTGTGCAGATTCCGGAGTTGTTCCCAGCGGCGTACTATAGAATTGATCGGATTCATCTATCAGAGGAGACTTGAGGTATAGCTGCACAACGTTCGCAGCTCTAAAGTCCCCTTCTACTTTATCTTAGCTGTGTGCTTTCTTTCAGACAACTTTATTTTATTCAGACCCTTGTTTGTATTATTCTAGAAGCTCGTGTACTTGTGACTCCAGTTCTGGGATGGTATTTAGACATCGTATTATTTTTGGTTTCACACATTTAAATTCATATATTATTCCGGTTGTTGGTTTCTTTATTACTTAGTTAAAATAAATTATT